AAGTGTAAACCTACTTACTTTCAAACCCCTACTTTTAATGTTAATAGATCCAAAAGAATATGACAACATACCTTAGTGTAGCAATAGTATCAATTGCTTCATATTGATGCTTCATGAATGACATGTTTTACCATAATTCTTCAATTTTAGTCTAGCCTCTTTACTCTTTATACGTACCTTACTACGTATAAAGAGGCTTGACTAAAATTGTAATTATATAAAATACAAAATGAAACTATAGATAAAACACACTTATGAAACTTTGAGCAGTACTTTTCAAAACGTTTACAACCTTTCTTTAAAACCAAACATAACCCTCCTCCATCTACATAAAGCGCCACAAACATATTTTTCGAGTCAATAAACAAACACCAGTTCATTGTACTGACCAGCTGTTTCATTAGCTAAATTAAATTAAATCATCTAAACTTTAAAAGCATGCCAGGCGTAGCCCTTTGGAAATCAGCCTGTGGGGCAGAGCCCTTAGGAAATTCATCCATATCAATACTTTTCGGCAAATCTACATACTCTAAGCTTCATTTTGATGTGCCATATGCCTATATTTTTATTTGGTAAATGGCCTTAACCGTTTACATAAAATTTGATTGTATCACTTTAATAATATAATAGATGTTGCTTAATCAGCTGTTGAGCTGCTACAGCTGTTATTTTAAAGGTAAGGGTCAAGGGGAGGGGTAGATTTCTTCCCCTGAAAACAGTGTAAATTTTGTGAAAGGAGTATAACGGTAATATCAAGATCAATAACCCCCTAACCCTCGGATTCAAACTTATTAACCTCATCTGAGACATTTGTTGTTGAGAGTTGTTTATCCTCCAACAGATTTGTAAATGTTTTGATGACTGTCTGGTAATCAAAAGGATAAAAGTTGCTTTCTCTCACGGTTAGAGATTTAAATTGACAAATTAGATTGTCAATAGTAATCCAAAACAGCTAGGAAAAGATTGCCTAATAGGAAAGACCAAATCACAAGGTAACATCTGATTGAGGTGAAAGAAAATTGTTTTGCATCATCTTGTAATGAATTCCCTAAACTGTGAATACACTCCTGCTGCAGCAAACCTGCAGACTAAAAGAATTTTCAATTGCCTGATTTGATTCTCACTTAAATCTATTTAAATACTTTAACACCAGGTTTAACAGGTACATATAGGTTTACTGCAACATGGATGGTAATAAAGCATATTTTTAGTAAAATATTAATAGTTTAGAATGAAATAAAGAAATTCACCAAGTTTGATCAACATAAATCCATAAACAAGAAAACTACAACTGCTTCCGTAAGATTAACATGGGAGTTTTAAATTTACAATTTTTTTCAATTTTCTCGGTAACCAATAACCATACAAAACACTTCGATATAGCAAGGTATTTGGTTTTTTAACCACTTCAAAATGGTATGAAGAGAAATTGGGAAATGTTATGTTTTGATGGGAAAAATGGTAAAAACTAATTTTTACCCCATAAAACCCTGTTTCTATGGTCCGATCATGCTAGTTTGCTAACTCTTTTTAAATAAACATAGGTTTATTGTACCAAATTTGATCAAATCTGACAATTTTTGCTAGAGTTATCGAGCTAACAAAAACCCATATATATATATGAATTTGAACGGATGGTGTGTTTGGCCTTTGGGGTCATCAAGACAAAAAAGTAAATCGGTCCCAGGTCCAAGTCTTACCATGAGACTTACGGTAATAGCTTATTCCCTATATGGGAAATTCGCTTATTGTTTTAAAAATTTAGTCACTTCCTTGTACTAAATCAACGTTCATATCACAAAGGTAAAAGATAAATGTATAAAAGATTTAGTCATTTATGTAAGGCTGTATACCTTTGTACAATTAGAACACTTACCTACTTAAGGATTCAACAAGGAATTATAACAAACTATCGTAAATGTTACATTACATATTATTACCTGTGGTAGCTTACGGTCTGCATTAAGCTCCATCGTAGCCAAGCTAGCTGGTTCAAATCTGATACATCCTAACATTACTTTATCTACAACTATTCTAGCCAGGCCAGTTAACTTATAGCATTGACTATATATAGTCAATGCTTATAGTCTTGTCATTGTCATAGTAGCCAAAAAAACATAAGGGAAATTGTTGCTCCCACCAATACTTTTCTGGTTTAGAGGTAACTAGTTGTTCTGTTCTGCCCGTGCTTTGCAATGGGGCAAGAATACAAGATAATAATGTGGGTCTCAAAATCTACTGTATAAACAGTTACACACACTCACCATGCTAATTATACAGGCAAATCTCAATCGTACTTATTGATTTTTTTAAAATGAAAATTATGTGTATTTGCATTAAACCATTGTCTATGAACTGTGTGGCAGAATCAAAACATTAACTCAGGGAAAAAGAAAACAAATTATAACAACAAATGGAACAGCTGATGCATCTCCAATATTATTTTAATTTCATATGTTTTGTTAGTAAAAATCTAACTAAAGTTCTTTTAAATCCCTGACATGGGTACCTTTAAGAAGGTCCCAGGCCTAAGTCCAGAAAGTTATTACGAAATTGATGGCGTATAAACCTACTCCATTCTACATTGAAATTCTACATGAATGTACCAAGTTTCATGGCCATCGTTCCATCGGTGTCTGAGTTTATCACTGCCAAACAAATATATAAACAAACAAACATCCTCTTTTATACTTATAGATGACGTATGAATTAAATAAGTAAAATTGATGGTGGTAAAAGTTTTGAAGTCTACCTTCTGAGCAAAGCAGGTTGTCTATTACTTATTTTCTGAGCCTTGTGAATCCCAGTGTAGGACTTTTTGAAAAATATGTACGGTAACAATAAGATCTTGCATAGTTTGCTATGCCTCCTAATAAAAATACTAGTTAATAGTATAAAAAATTAACCATTATAAAACAAACATGACAAAAATTATAAACATATATAAACCTAGTGCAATAATTAACGGCTTAATGTTTCAATTACAAAGGTTGTTTGTAAATATTTATCCCCAGCGAGCTTCTGTCAAGACCAGTCAAGACAAAGAAAGCTAGTTGAAATCTAACTCTCGTAACTTCCATGATCCCCACCACTATTGTAGTGAATCTCCATATCTACACAACGTTGGGTATAAATTGTGTTCTGTGCTCAATTTTAATGTCAAGGGGTCATTCGCTAATGAAATCAATGCCAGTTGAAGTATATCCATGGAGAAAGGTCTGTTGACTTAAAAATGAGCACAAGTAGTCGAGAGATTTTCAGTAAGGCTGCACACATTTGTTTTGCGAGTTTGGCCAAAGTAGCAGAGCATATTTTAAGGGATTTCCACTGGGCGACAGTGGCGCCGGACTTACTGGGGGGTCTGCTGGGTATGGAATACCCCTTATCAAAAAGGGGGGTCCGAGGTCCCCCCCCGGAAATTTATGCAATAAACTTAAGTGAAAATCACACATTTCTATGTATCTTTAAATGCATTTTTATAATATATATGCTTGTAAATAGTCCATATAATCTCACTTAATTACCCATTCTAGAACTTTGTAACAGGCCAAGGCTTTCTTCACAACCTCTTGGACCAAAATCATAGCTCAATACTCTAAAATATTTACATAATGTTATTTTTTAATTCCGATACATTTAAAATATGAATCATTTAAAAAAATATGCTGGCACCACCCATAGCCACTGGGCGACAAAATCTCAGCAGTGGGCGACACTTGTGTCGCCCAGTTAACATGTTATTTTATGCCCTGCAAAGTAGTCAATCAGTCTTGGACGAGACTATGACTAAATGTGTACTATGAGAAAATTTGGTTCGAGGTTGTAGTGTGACTTTCTGTAAGATTGTTGACATAATGGCAATGGTCTATTAGTGAGGACTTTCAACAGTATAACAACAATACAATTGTAAAACAGCTACATCCAGGTATTCTTACTGATTCCTTCACAGGGGTAATTCTAAGCGGTTAGGCCGGGGCCACACAACGCGGATGATCCGCGTGGTCCGACAACACATTGAATCAAATGAGAGTGGCCACACGGGGCGATCCTAAGCCGCCTGGGCGGATTGTCCGCGCCATGTCGCGGATTGTCCGCGCGATCATAAGCCGCGTTGGAGGGGATGACACACGTAGTCTTATGAGAGTGGCCACACGATACGGATTGTCCGCGCGGTTGGAGCTCATTTTCAAGCATTTGTAGTGGTTTTTTTTTTAGTTTGTGCTTGTGGATTTCGGTTTATAGGTGTAAAATGTTCGATACAGACAAATCAATAGAACTTGTTAAAGATAATATGGGATTTCTCATGTTGTACATTTCTCATGAGTATATCTTCCTTAGTTGTATGCGGTCAAAGCAATTGAAGTAGCTCGTCCATCGATGCTATCTACATGCGATAGTAACAAAAAAAGACTCCGAACTATGGTTTCGCATGTGCTCGTAAAAGGTTTGGAACACAAATGGTTTATCGGTTATGAAATGATGGACCCAATGATTTCGGTTTGCCTTAGGCTCTAGCTCACCACACGCTTCTAATGCACAAACTAACATACGTGTTTCTTCCATGACTACAACGAGAACGAGTGAATTAAACCATGTTAGAATCTCAGTACGTAGGCTGGGAAACCTCAACCGGAAGCGGTTCATCTGCTTCGTGTGGCCGGGACATCACGATCATAAGCCGCGCGGACGATTCGCCACGTGTGGCCCCGGCCTTAGCCATTCAAGTCCTGACATTTTCCTGGTCCTGTGCAGACCAGAAAATTTTTCAGGATAAGACATCCCTCATTGGCTATGTGCTCCATAGTTTTATACTCTACTCCATGTCCACAAAACTTATCATTGCATGCTTATAAGCAAATGTGAAAATGGTGAGAAATTATTAAAGTTTCATTAAAAATTCATTAAATAACAAGGGTATGTTGCTCGGTAGGAGATATAAGTAGGCCTACTATAATATTTTTTTAAACTAATTTGGCGGGTACAAATTAATCCTAAATAAAGACTTTTGGTAACATAACATTTATTCAGTAAAATACAACTTTATGTTTATACCAGTCATAGGCAGCTATTTAATCACAATATTACTTCAGCTAAACTTGAACATTACAATAAAACAAATAAGCTCTACAGGGTTCTAAGACAAGCTATTCACGACTAACAAACATTGGTTATAAAATATTTCTGAGCAAACAAAACAATAACAATAAGGGTGGATTTCTGACTAGTTTCTATTTTATTCTTGGTCTTACCTTTCAAAGATGAATATCACTACCACAACCTTGATATTCCATTAAAATATGACATGTAGTCTCAAGAGTGAAAAATATTTAGATTTCTTATAAAAGCGAGAAAAATTGGTTTATTAATAATATAAAATAAATGATACAGATAGAAATTTAAAAGAAACAGGACCATTCTTGGTCATAACAATAGACTTCTTCAATCATACTGATTACAGGTTTAAAGAACGTTTTTGTTGATTAAAAATAGTTAAAAATATTTAAAAATCAGAAAGAAATTTTGAGGTTTCACAAAAATATTTTTTTTGGTAATGGACCTATGAAGTAACAATATAAAAACCCTCGATATTATCATAATTTTACAAGCTCAATAGAATATAAATAACTTTCAATTCGTTAAAATGTAAGAAGACATTTTTACCTAATATAAGTTTCACAACAACTGTAACATTGTTCTGTTTTGTTCATTAAACTGTTGTCTATTATTGAAAATTATCATATTTTTCTTATAATAAACTTATTCTCTGTTATGTCTTGGTCTTGTTATGTAAAAAACATCCTGATTTTAGTTTTGGATTTTGACCTTTTATATTAGGCTACAGGAGTTTGGTTTATCGGGAATCCATTGTATTACATTTTCTAATATCCATAAAATACTAAATTGGCCTTTATATAGATTTTCACACTATCATTTTTAAAAGTCTATCAAAATTACCAACAAAAAATATTTGAATTGGTAATTAAAACTGGACCTGATGGTAAAGACCCATCTGTTGTTAGGTTTGTACTACAATATTATTATCTGTCCAATGATTATGACGAAAATAATTAAAGGACATTAAAACATAAATCAGAGCCTATCTGTAGTAAATTGAAACCAAGTTATTATGTAAAAAATCAATATAACATACAATTACTGTAATTGGAAAAAAGGATGACAAATTATATGGTAATCAAATATAATAACTTCTTGATCAGCATTGTACGTGTTATTAAATTTACGGAAAGTAAAAAAAGAAACGTCTTATAACACTTAAATAGTTTTTTGTGCAACTAGTGAGCAAAGTGAGCAATTGACTCACTCGAGATAAATCCTTACTCACGAGCCATAGGCGAGTGAGGAATGGTTTCTCGAGTGAGGCAATTGCACTTTGCACTAGAGTTGCACATTATATTTTTCCTACAGTTACAATAAAACAAATAAATTAGTAAAGAAACGTGACATATTTTTACACAGAAGTGAACTTTAAATATGACATTCAATGATCAACACGATCAACAACAGTACAACAGCTGACCAGCTGATTTAAAGCCAGTGCTGCCAACGTATTTCGCGCTCATACGACCTTGTCTGCATGTTACGCGCTCACTATTTCGTGCCTTCACGTTGCAAATCTGGAGTGAGACAAAGTAATTAGAGTGAGACAATGTTAACATTGTCTCACTGATGAGCGAATTAGCCACTTTGCTTTCTCAAATCAGTGAGAGAACATGTAGATTGTTAGGTAACTGTAGGAAAACATATATTTACGCTTATACTGTTACTCACAAGACGGTAAATATACAAAACGACCACTTGCCATCTGTTTTGTATATTTACCGTCTTGTGAGTAACAGTATAAGCGTAAATATATGTTTTAAGTGTTATAAGACGTTTCTTTTTTTACTTTCCGTCAAATATAATGTCATACAGATCGGATAGTAGCTGTTTCCAATCTTAAGAAACAAAACTGATTGGTTTGCCTTAAGTTTAGCTTAAAATAAGTAAGATTTTAAGCATATCTCAGCAATATCCATTCAAAATTGTCACATTTAATTGATATTCTCTGTACCACTATCTCTAAATACTATTATTATAAAATAAAAATACAGTAAATGATTATGTTTTAATTGTATGTAGTAAATAGTACTGAGTGTAAGGAGCTATTATTTATTTAATAAAGTAAAGAGTATTTTTAAGTTAATTAAATGAAACCATAATTCAGTCATATATTAACTTAATACTAATAAGCTCTAAATGCATTCTAAATCTAAATCAAGGATAAAGAAGCTGGAAGTTAATTAATTAAGTGTTATTGTCAAGTTCTAAAAAAGCGATCACACAAAAATCTTCAAAAATATGCTACATACTAACACTAGAACACTGTTGATAGTAATGATATAGCCAAACCATATGATAAACAGCTGATAAATAATTTTGTCTAGATAAACATGGAAGATACATATGATTCTAGCGATTAAAAATAATTCTTTGATATAAACTCTCAAGTGTTCAATATAACAGTACTAAAACGGATGTATAGTCGTAAATATATATATTACAATACAAACAATTAAAACCTTAAATGGTAAACATGCATAGATCCATTGACAACAACCATTCTAAAATAGAGGAATTCAGCATTAAAATCTATAAAAATATAACTTTATATAGCACATTAAATGTAAAGTATGGTAGTTAGTAAAATATAGTTTCATCAACATTTGTTGAACTCAAACAACCATTGTCACTAGTATTTTTCTTTTGGGTGTTAAAGAATATTTTTTACCATAGCAAAACAAAATTCTATTTAAGTGTGAATATGGTCTTCTAAATATAAACATGCTAAAACCTAAATTAAATTTAAAACAAAAAAAATAACCATGCCAAATTTACATGTACAGATAATACTCTCTCATTGTAACTAATATTTTGAATACTTGCCCTCTTGTATTAATCACTAAACAAATCACAACTTCATTCTTGGAAAAGCCTCAAAAATAAAACTCTTATAAGCAAATAAGATATAGCCTACCTTGCATCAAACTCAATTCTCATATCATCACAAGTAAAAAAACCTGATATATTTTTTTATATGCATATGTAACAATTCACACAAATAGTGTTTTTGGCCTCTTAGGACATCCATATGAAAAAGTAAATTTAATCGAAGACAATTGATAAATAATCGTTTGGAGTAAGGTCTAAAGGTAGTGCATACTGAAATTCATTTTTTTAAATTGAAACCACATAGATTACTAAATAAGGGTTCAAGTATAATTAGTCACTTTAGTTTTGCACAGTTAAAACCATGTGTATGTATATTAAATAAATTTATGTCTTTTAGCAGCACGCTTATTTTGTGAAGCTCGCTGTTAATAGGAAGACACGATCACCGTCATTTTACACACTTGTTCTAACAATTCAGATGACGTTACAAAAATAACATGCTATACCCAGTCATATATTCCTAAAACAATATTATTTTGTGAGCTAGGAAGACACTACACTGATAGTTATTTCATTTCCTCCTTGAAACAGTTCAGAGTTTGTATATAAACTAGTGTACATGTTGCTCGAAATCTAGCAAAGGTAAAGTATTACAGGAGTTGCTTGAAAACAAATGACAATCATAATTTCTGATGAGTTTAAAAGGGTCAACTCAAATTACTCAATGATTATTTAAGTAATGGAAATACTCACGACATTCCTAACAGGTTAATGGAATCAACATTTTTCTTGTAAAAATATCTTATCATTTTTCAAAAGCTGATCTTGTTTTTAGTGTTTACCAAAAATTGTTCCCACTTACAGCCGCATTAGGTTGTCCATGTTTATCTTCTAGATAGTTTAAACATTGACTGTTTACAATTAACATTATCATCTTCTCACTTTTAATTTCTGACAACAGCTGGAGTTTAATAACAATATTTGTTTCCCATGTTAATCTTATGAATAAATAAATATGAAACTTTAAAGGGCCCCAGGGCCTCACTCTGTAATTATTTCCTTAAAAATAAAGTTTCCTGCACAACTGCACGTTACACTCTTTCCAATGACACCAAAAACATGTCAATCGGTTCAGGAGTTTCGGAGGAGTAATTGACACAAAAAACCTGCTTGCGTATTACATAAGTATAGATAATAGGGTATTCTCGTTAATCTACAACCAAAAACACTTCAGTAATAGTATTATTTATCCCATTACGTTGAAAACACCCACCTCTATTGTGTATCTACAGTCAATAATAGCTGCAACAACATGGATTTGATTGGTTGTTGTCCTTAACAAAGTCACTGGACTAATCGAAAACAAAGTCACCTTATGATCAATCGTTGGAGAGCTCATACTGATAAACTCCCGCTTATAATAACATTATTCAATATACATGTAACGCAAACTGCTGCAATTGATCCAACACTGCAAGCATTGGTGTATTAACTTGACTACATCTTGCTAAACAAAGGTCCCAACAGGAAGAATAAAATAAAACCCTCAAACCTTATAGCGAGAATATCAGAATTGAGCTGATGCTACCTTACAGATACTGAGCAAGAACACATTCGGTGAGATCACTAGACGAAGTAGGAGATGTACTCATGCGGCATGACGCCGCGGCGAGGGTAGAACGTGTGGTTGACCGAGTACTGCAGTAGGTTGGTAATATGGGAGGTGTAGATGTCAGCGAACCTGAACAGCCGACGCGAGAAATACGTGGGGTTGTGGTAGGTGCGGAACACACTGCCAAACTGCTTGTTAAACACACACTTCATTGACTGCCTGTGAGTGACATACAGTTCAAATAATGAACAATGGTTTCAAAGATTAAATCAAGAAGCATTTTTTTAAGGTACTACTCTAAGTGAGAGAGAGGATTACGAATAAGTAAGGAGGAGAGCAAAGTAATGGTGATAGGAAGGGATGGAGAGTTGAAACAACCTTTAAGTAGAGGGGAAACAGCTTAAGTTAGTTGAAAATGTACATATTTGGGCACAGTTTTATCAAACAATGGGAGAACAGTACAAGAGGTTACTCAAAGTGTTAGACATCTAGTCTAGGATAAAGATATACCAAAGACTGCAAAAGTTACCATGTATAAAACTTTTTATACCGATAGTTACCTATGGTGCAGAAGTTTGGATTACATAACAAAGAGGAAATGGAGTTTCAGTGTAATGAGTGTGAATCCCCACATGAACGGAAGAAAACCAAGAGGTAGACCTACTATTGTCGGATTGATGAGGTGAGAGGAGATGTGGAAGCAAGAGGAGTGCAGTGGCAGTATGAGGAGGAAGAGGAATTGTGAAGGGGCAGAAGAAGATGGAGAGACCTAGTAAACCCACACCCGGAGATAACCGGACCAGGAGAGGATGTATGTACTACCCTACAACAGAATTTTAATTTATTAATACTTTCAATCAGTATCTCATAACTGACTCTTACTCTTCAGCAAAATAGAAAAGCATGATTATTGGAGGTCTGCAGGTATCCTGGGAATCAAGACAGGAGAAGAACAAATTCATTCCCAACCTTATTTATCCACAAAGGTAGAGGTCAGTAGGGATGATTTCTCCACGATCGAGGAAGGTGTACACAATCTTTCCCCAATGATGGGAGAGGATCATGATGTCTTCGTGAATGCAGAAGGTGTTCACAGTTTTACAACGAGAAGTAATTATATTTAGTCTAATATTGTAATGGTGAAAATATTATGAGATAAAGAAAGCAATATGATTTCTAATGGCCTGCGCTGTCAATAATTCTCCGAGCGGCCACGCACTGCGCTAAACAAGCAGCTAGGCACATCTCTCTAGTGGATGGAGTGTAAAAAAGCTTGACGTTAGGCGACGGCGAAATAGCCCGTAGACTTGTAAAAATCGTGGGATGTTAGGCAATGGACGGAATAGCCCAAGAATCAAACTCAGGGTGGAATAACACTGGGTAAAAGAGTAAGTTCTAACGCTAGGTGTTAGGCCGGGGCCTAAGGGCACCTGGACTCGTACAAGTCGCGAAACGTTAGAACAGGGCGGAACAGTCCCTGGACGTCGAAATTATAGTTTATTTTTACTTTCATTATCTTAAGTTATAAATACTAAAGTTTTTTATTTAATTCTAAAAGGTGAAATACTGCTTAACCAATAAGTGAAGATTTTAGTTTTATTTTTCCGATGTTCATAATTTTAGTTTTTTATCAATGTTCCACTCTAAGAATTAAACCCAACCATTATAAATTTGTTCTTTTGTTTATCATTATTTAAATGGGCTATGATGAATGTGTCATTAAACAGCTGATGCTATTTACCGACAACATTTGAGCCACAAATATTTACTTTCAAGTAGCTATGACACTACTGACTCACCTGAGTTGGTCTCTCTCCATTTCCCACTGGTGATTCGCTTCCACTGCCCTCGGGTCCCCAGAGTCCTGCCAGTCTTCTATCAGCTGTGTCAGCATCTGCAGCCAGTTGCACGTCCTCTTGAAGTGTTCATCGTTTAAGGTTTCTATCTCGTGCTGTAAAAATAATCATTGTCTAAAACATTCAGTAATGTAGATGACCCTAATTCAAACCTTTAGGATGATACCTCCCTGTGATATCCTGACCATGTTCAAGCATGCTGCCATTCACCTACAGGTAATGAAAAACTCAACATGAGTCACCACATCACAGTTTTTCCTTTTTTTTAGTAGGCATGTGTTCAATTTGTTTTCTAATTTCATTTGAAGAATGCGAGATAGTTGCTAAAAACAGTCATCTAACTTTAGACGAGGTTGAGGAATCACTAGACAAATCAAGGTACAAATACCTTTCAATATATTACAGTATTTTAGATACTAGTGTACTAACACTTTTGCTCCTCTTATTATTAGGATACTAGTAATGATGTGTTCAACTACTACAGTAAACAATACTGTGTTACAAATTTATGTTGTTTTGAGTAACTCCAAGTTTACTTTCTATGGTTTCTTCAGTATAAAACCTGTCAGCTCACTACAATTATGTTGCATTAAAATGTTGCAGTAATCTGAGCCGAGCCTGGCCTATAAGCGTGAGGGACCAAGCACCAAGAAAAACGAGCTCGAGCCAAGCTTTTATGTCCCCGATTGCTGAATGCGTCTGCATTGATCGCACAATACAAATTTACACTTAAGACACAATTGAAAAAGACAATGATGATGTCTCCATAACTGTTGGAGTTGTTAAGGTCTTCACCACAATCTTAGAAGACAATTATGTCTACACGACAGCGGAATAACTTTAATGTTTTTATTTAATGAAAGCTGATGCTATTTACCAACAACATTTGAGCCACAAATCTATTATCCTACTAATATTATAAACTAGGTGAAACCCGCCGAAATCGACGGTTACTTTAAAGGCTTACGCTAATTCATCTTACTGCGATAAATTGAGTGAAATTATACATATTTTGAGCATTTAGCATTGTTTAAAGAGTAATAAGTGTAAAAACAATAATGAAATTAATTGCATTAGTTACCAAATACGGTTGATCATTCAATGAATAAAATATTTCTTATACCGTACGTCATCCGAGTTATTATTAAAATGTTAACTGGTATCTCTTCTTTTGGAAGAAAATTTATGGTATTAAAATCGTATTGGTGGATCTTTTATAGTTAAAAGCTTCCGCGATTTCATCAGTCAGTGAAATAAAGATTAATCTATGATTTTATTTGAGAAAAGATATCGGTTTTTGTTGAGAAGACAAGTTCTAACTTCAAAGGGAGGTCCATTTTTCCTTCGTCACGTCGCGTCAGTTCATATCGTACTTCTGTGCCGATGAATAATCCTCTAGCATAGTTTTGAGAAATTGGTTGTGGGGTTAATGTTAAAGCTAATAAGACACTTCTGCACTTTTATAATTTGGTATTGTATTACACAATCGAAGATTTTTCCAATGATTGAAAACATGTATGACAATAATCTCATGAACCTATGATGATCTGCCTCGAATAATATGATAAAATATAGCCAAAAGTGGTGAAAAAGGCAGACACCAACCGGTACAATAGATATAAAGATAGTTCAGTAAGAAATAATTCTAAGAGTTATTGTGATAAAAGGATTTTCTACTGATTTCATATGGAACGTTAGGCCTATATTGCAAAACATGACATGATATAGAAGAAAATCCATTTTAAAATCAGAAAATAACATTGCAAGTACTTCTTTTGGACAGCTCAGTAACTCCCAATAAATGTGTGTTGTTTAAATTGCAATTACAAAATTAACAGCTGTTTCATTAAAAGTATTATCCACATGACCAAAAGTAAACAAATATGTGAGGGATCTTTAAAGGCTTCTGGAGCAGAGCCCTAAGGGAATTTACTTCGTTTTTCTTTTGATAACTCATCTACAGACCAAGACATTTCTTTGGACACCTGTACCAAGTTTCTACGCCCAGCCGTTCTCTCGAATTAACGGAGACAAAGTTTTCAATTAATTATTTAGATTCCCCCATGTTATTCTTATGGGAGAAAACCCAAATTCGATGGCAGATCCTGTCCAAACTAATAAAGATTTCAATAACCGAAAAACACTTTGCAAAACTACAGATCAGGGCCATTCTTTTGACACTTTAATCATTAAAATCGGTCCAAAAAATGAGGGAGGAGTTCTGTTTACAAAAATCGGCTTAGCGTATTATATATATAGATAGATGAGAAAGTTTGGATGTATGTATGTATGTTTGTGACAAGTAAACACGAAAATAACTGGTCGGATTGGGCTGAAATTTGGGGTGACGATAGCTCACATTCCCGATTAACATATAGGCATATTGTTATCTCAAAACTCCTTTCAGGCTCCGCCCCAGTAGATTTAGAGTTTCCCATGTTAACCTTATGGGTATTCACATTTAAAAGGGATTAAATCATTTTGTCAGCTGATTTGACCGATAAAGTTATTCTCTGATATTCAATAGCATTAAAAGTTATAAGGTTTACCAACAGGGTGCAACTATTATATATTTTTCTATTTTTGAAGTAAGCAGCATCAAAAAGCTGTGATACACTATGAGAACTGTCAAAGTAGGATTTTTTACAGTAATGTTTATGTTTTTAATTTAATACAAAAGTTGTGATATTGTGTGAATGTTTGATATTTTACTTTTTTATATTGTTCAGGTGCAGGGGTAGAACAGAATGGCTACGGTAGATGTGTAATACTATACTGTATATATACTATATCTTTAAAACTATATCATACCGTAAATATAAAGAACCGAATTCTCTCATGCCTTATCCTCCCCCATTGCAAACGCAAAGCTAGAGTATAACTGCAATAAGCATTTTATACTTATAAGCCAACCCCGTATGAAGAACGGGTACTCTGCTAGTCTATTATATTATTAAAGTGATACAATAAAATTTTATGTAAACGTTTAGGGGCATTTACCAAATAAAAATATAGGCATATGGCACATCAAAAGCTTAAGAGTGTGTACATTTGCCGAAAAGTATTGATATGGACGAATTTCTTAAGGGCTCTGCCCTTGAGGAGGGTTATGTTTGGTTTTAAAGTGAGGTTGTATACGTTTTGTATAACATTGCTCAAAGTTTCATTTTTTAATTTATATAGTAAGTTACGCCTACATGTGAAGAGGCTTGACTAAAATTGAAGAATTATGGTAAAACATGTCATTTATGAAGCATCAATATGAATAAAATGGTTTATATTACCTGTCCGTCAGTGATCCTATTATTGTTGTCTTAGGCGACCGGTTTCAGGATTAAAATCCCATCATCAGGCTGTTAAAAAATGTCATGCCACTCAAATTAAGGTCGTCGGTAAACACAAAAACACACACATACAACACAAAACACGAAAATACGGATTAACATTGCTACTGGAAAGTACGGGACACTACGACACGGCACGGGTAGTTGCGTGGTCATGACTCAACGATGCCACCACGTTGTTTGAGTGTCCTGTGCTGGCCAGTAGCAATGTTAATCCGTATTTTCATGTTTCGTGTTGTATGTGTATGTTTTTGTGTTTACCGACGACCTCAATTTGAGTGACATGACATTTTTTAACAGCCTGATGATGTGATTTTAATCCTGAAACTGGTCGCCTAAGACGACAACAATAGGATCACTGGCGGACAGGTAATATAAACAATTTTATTCATTAAGTGATCCTGGGCCACTAAGCATAATGAAATCAATATGAAGCAATTGATGCTATTGCTACACTAAGGTATGTTGTCATATTCTTATGGATCTATTAACATCAAAAGTAGGGGTTTGAAAGTAAGTAGGTTTACGCTTTTAAATCAGTTTATATTTTCAAACTAAATCATAGAGTTGCTTAATTTTAAAACACACATCAGCATCACTTTAATAGCTCTCTAGGTCACATTTTCTTCCCATTGCAAAGCACGGGTATAGCAGCTTGTTATTATTTATTTGTGTTCTTAGTACTAACCCTCTAACTTTTAGAAAACAATGCTTTTTTAAAGGTGACACTTTTCCTAAACCTAATTCTTGTTGCATCCTTTTATTTTAAAAAGAAGTATGTTCAACAATATCAATACTTCAGAACGTTAAACGTTGCATTGCATTATTTAGAAGTTGGCCTATGTAAAAAATTAACTTGTCATATGGCATTACACAAAATTCATCGGTAGTTAGTATTTAAAAAAAACTCGGCTAAATTGAAAAGCTTAGGCTCGCACACCTCTACTAAACCCATGTTTGGTAGAGTTTGCAGGCAGTTATACTATGTTCAAAAAACTTAGGTGGTTTTAGGGGAAGATATTTAACCCCTCCACTTGATCCCACCACTAAAACATAGCTCAACAGCTGAGATTTGTCAAAACCTCAATCAGCTGCAACATACATTGAGCAGGAAAAAGTGGTGGGTGTACTTCCCCTGAAACAGCCTAAATATTGGGAAAGTACTATAAATGAGGTTGGGTATACTAAAATAGACGATCTCTATTTTTGCAATCTTTCTAAAATACCGGTACTTACAAAACAGCAATTTTTAAGTTAACGCACAGTAATCAATCATTGCGGAAGTCTCAAACTTGCTGTAGTAAGTCATCCAGCTTACTCCAGCTTAGTAAGTCATCACTTTACTCTAACTCACCACAAGTTCGTTGATGATTGCCCCAGTGCGCCAGCCATGCTCCAGCGTAACATCCGCCAAGTCACTGTATGGATGATCTCCAAAGTACAACACTTCACTGCCATACCAACCTGTCATATCCTTCAACTGGTTGATGGTGCCCTGCAGACAAAATGTTTCAGTTAAAACCTTAGAATTGGATTTGTTAAGTTTGTAAGTCAGTAGAGACTTGATTATCTGACCTATTATAGCAAATTGACGAGGCCTTAATTTTGTGGTTCACTCAGGAGAGTCAAAAAGAAGTCGCCATTGGTGTACCTTTCATGCAAAAAAAAGCCGCAACTGAACAAACTTATTAATTTTTAGACCCACCATCATTCTCAGCTAGCCATTGCTTTGCTTCTGATTGCTGGAGGAAAAGACATAGAATAAGATAGCTCACGATTATGTCATGAACTTCCAAGACCTTATTTTTTCCCAAAACTACTCAACGCAGCAAGTTTAAAACATGGATGAAACAGGATGAAATTTCAAGACGTTTCCTACTAAAAGTCTCGCTTCACAAGAGGAAAAATCTGCCCCTGGGTTTAAAATGGACAATCAACACTTAACCCTTCATCGGTGTCTTTGATTTTAAAATACAATCGGTGACACACAGAGATTTTATCTGGGTGTTGAAACATTAGACAAAAAAATGTTTTTTATACGTATAATAATATAAAAACGTATTTTACCATGTATAATCAATACAATTGTACTTGAAATCAACAAAAACTCTTACTCTACATATTTATACAAATATATAGCAAACAAAAACAACAACACCATTCGTGACTCACTGAGCCAAAGATCGTTTAACAGTGCATAGAGTCTTGTTGCACGTTGAGCGTTTTCCCCACTACCTGCTGCCTCATGGTACAGTCATATTTAAAAAATGCTCTTAAGGCCTACACATTAGGACACCCGGTCGCTTATCAGCATGGTTCTGGTTGACGAGCAACTAAGTTGATGATTGAACGAATTGGATGCTGGGGGCAACAGACTTCGCTACCTAGCACTTTCAATCAAGCAAGAAATAAATCAAAATTTGGTGGGGATAGATAATGTGTTTGGTTCTGGTTAGAGCTTAAGTGACGACACCATGCCCGCCGACGAATTTTTCGAAGATTTTGGGCTAAAGGGTGGCTTCAATGTAGAAATAGTTACAGCCACATGGCACTCCTACGAGCCTTGTGACTTGAAAATCCTCAGGATTTTAAAAACTATTTACGGATGTCATATGACAGTTTCCGTCACTCTTTGCAGCTAGTGACGCCCAATATACCTGGCCAAAGACTAAGGAACCAATTAACCTCACATAGAAAAAAGGACGCCAGATTGAGATTTTAGCATGGTTTTGTTTTGTCAGTTCATTTTTCGCATGCACAAGCCGTCTTTAGTTGATCAACTTAGTCGCTGAACCCTACACACTCTAGTTTTTAGAGAAGTCTCGTTGCCTGGCGATAAATTGGTTGATCGGAAACCAACAGGTTTTCAGTTTACAGCACCAAAAACCAAAATGATCCCCACACACATGGCGATATTTGTGCAATTTGGTCACTCATCAACCAGATTGCCGGTTGATAAGCGACCGGGTGTTCTCGTGTGTAGCGGCCTTTATACCGCTTGCTGCCGCATGTCTCTCGTGCAGCTAGTGATATTGTAGTGGCCTGAGAAATGATATTGTGTTTGTTAGTGTTCCTGTACGTTTGTAATTGATTGTAGGTGAATTTGTCAGTTTATTAACAGTATGAACTGAAAGGGAAAGTGCTAAGGCTCCAGACATGTGAGATAATTGCTAACGTTATAATTTATATGGAATTGGAGGCTAGGGAATCAAGGTTTACAATTGATCCCGTAAAGGTTAGAAACAGGGTGTTGGCTGCTTGTGGAGTTTCAAAATAAACTTTAACACGACTAAGTGTGGGGAAGAAAATTTTGGAAGAAAAAAACCCTAGTTATCAATTAAAACAAAAAACAAACACAAGACCCCATACACACACTTGCGCAGTTTTTCACCACACCCAGGCTTATACAAAATACATTGAGAAGTCCCAAGCTTTTACACTAAGAAGACAAAAAAATACAGACTGTTTTAACCCTAGAAAATATGGTGTTTAATCATTTCCCTGTTAATTCACACTGAAAATTAGCCATGGATGGGTTAGAGTGTTCATATTCACCAATTGACTAAACATTGTGAGTACTGGACCCTAAATCTACAGGGAAAGCTGTTTAAATTAGTAATCTGGCTAAATAGGCTGGCAGATGGTTACTTTTTTATGAGGAATAAATAATCCAAAAATAAATGGATACATCAAAACACACTCACCTCAAAGTATATGACTCCCTTCTTTAGTTCAGTAACCTTGTCCCAAAGATAAGAGTCGTTCTCTTTGTCGTAGATGCGAAGAGGTCTTGACTCATCAGTGAAGAACAACGGTTTACGAGCCTGGACGATGATAACATCGAAGAAGTCTTCCCAGTTGTCTCCTACCATCCAAGACATGCCCTTGTTCCTAGAAACAAGATTAGAAAAAAATTCCACACAAAATAAAATTAACTAAAACTGACTGGTTAGCTTAGTGGTTGTAAGATTTGCTTTCTAATTAGAGGGTTCAATAGATAATTCTGCAACTTTTGATAGGTTAAAACTTGACCCTACTATCATTGATAATGTTGAAAAAAATCAGCAGATCTTAGCCAGTAACACAAAACTAAACTTGGAATCTCACCCCATTCTACTCACGCTCACTCTTATATAACTTAGGTCCCCCAGGATAAAAATCTCGTCCATGAAGTGAAACCAACACAACATTTTGGGATTGTAGGAAACATTTTTCAAGTTTCTCCATAAACAGTTTAGCGTAGGAAGAGGCCATCATTTGCAGTGCCTTTAGTTTGTAAATAACCTGCAACCTTTTGTCAGGGAATTTCAATTTAACCACCGACCATTTCTTAGAACCGCTGACAACCATACAAACACCTCTTCCTCCTGCAACGATTCTGGCTACAATAGATGTAACCTCCCTGTACACTAACATCCCCTTTACACATGGACTTGCTGCAGAATAATTTTCCTAGACCAGCGCCCCAAAAAAACCCTGAGCCCTCAACTTCTTTCCTACTCAACAAGGCTAAGTTCATTCTAGAAAAAAGGTTTTCAATTTAAAAGAAGGGAGGAAGGATGGGCCCAATCAATTGAACAAAAATTTGTCAAATTATAATACTGATACGGTTGTGTGGCGTAGCCCACGTTAATAATTTGGCCAATTTTTTGTTTAATGTTTTTGTGTTCATGTAAGTATTATGTGTATCTAACGATTCTTTTCAACACAATCAGTGATGAGGAGGAATTTCTTAACTTGGTGACTGTTTAAAGATGAACCTTAAGGTTCGAAACCTTGGTCGTGGACCTAAACCTGGATCACTGATGGTACTACAGGTATTTAACCTTTTATTTGTAAAAAATGTGATCCAGAGGCTAAACATGCTTGTATTTAAACCAGTGACCTGATTTAAAGGCGAGCACTATAACCACTCGCCTACCCTGGCAATTACAACAACTAGCTGTTGGTGTTTTGCTTCTGTCTACATATATAGTACAAAAATGCACCTTTTTTAAATTAGTATTTCTCTCTTAACTTAAAACCTAGACATATTCCTACAATTAGTAGTGTACTCTAAGAATTCTAAATCCAAATTAATCTTTGATGTTTGCATATCTGAATCTTTGACTACCTGAACCACCTAATGTTTTGCATAATCCAAACTACTACCTTAATTGAAAAACTCTCTTGTTCTCTCCATATCAGCACTCTTTGCCTCCTCTAAGTAGGCTACATCCTAAACCTAATTATGTACTATCAAATCAGTGATGAACTTTTTACAGACAAGTTAGACAAAAGTCATACATGTGGCAAAAAAAAGAACAATTATGATTATATTAATAAAATCTAATGTTTGATGAGAGACAACTAACTGTCTTAGTTATTTATTTATTTATTTTTTTTTGGTCCTAGGACGTGAGGCACGAGCCTGGGATTTTTTCACATTACCTAGGATTTGCGACATTATCACTAAAGCTGCGTTGTCCAAGGCGCGTCTGTTGCGTCTGACGCAGAGCGATGATCGCCGAGCGATGATAGCTGAGCGTCAATCGCTTAGAGGCCCGTTGTCCAAGAACGCGTCTATTCATTTCAACAGTTGGTTGCTGACTGTGTTAAAATTTATTTTGCTCTCACTATAAGCGTTAAGAGCCAAGTGTTGAAGATCCTATTCATCGAAGAGATAGAAAACGAGGAAATTCTGGACCTTAAGTGAACCTCGATTGTGTACCCACAGTGTTTTCAAAAAGAGAAGTGAGGAAGGATATTTTAGAATACTTATCAAAAACCACTTTAATGCAGACAAGAGTCTGTTAAGTGATTTTTTTACTTTTAATGGAAACAGTTTAAGTTCCGTTAAATCCTTGAAAGTTTAAGTTGTAATAATTTAATTTAATACTAATTTATTATTATTTTGAAATTTTTCTTTACTTAAATACAGATATCTCCTATTCTAAATAACTTCCAATATGTAATCCATAGCTAAAATAAAAGCCAATACTTTGGTGAATTATTTTAGACTATAACTTTAATTTAATTTTGTGTTTTTGTTCGTAGCGGGTCTCTAACTCGTTTGATTTTAATTATCAATAACTCAAATGGAAGCCCTTACATTACTGAATATTTTAAGGTTGAAACGAACTCCAAGCGTTAATAAGAACTGGAGTTATTTAAAAAAATGATAAAAGTACGAAACGTCTATAAGAAATGTATGGGGAAGAGTTTTCGTTTGAATATCTTTAAAACAAAAAATAAAATAAAAACGGATTCCCGCATTAAAATTAGCATGAAAATCTAGTTTTGTAAATGTTGTGTCACAAAACTATCATTACATAAAAACAATATGTATATCCAATATGGCGGATCCAAGAAGGCGGCCATAAACGTGTTTCCTATCGAAATGAAGTAATAACCACCCAATAAATACTGGTGGTGATCGTAAGTCAATATCTCGAAAATGTGCATAAAAAATGCATGTGGAATCATTTTTTATTATTTTTCCAATGTTGGGAAAAGCCACCATTTTTTATAATGATTTTAGGGGGTTTCCCATGGACCGATTTTTGGCAACCTTTAGTATATCACTCAGCAGACTCAACACTACAAAATAAAATCCTAAAACATTATCTTGCAATCTTTTTAGGTCATATTCTATATTTCTTTGACTATAGCCATTACATTAAGATACTGTATATTATGGAGTATACGGGAGAACACAGAAACAACAATGCAATAGACGCAATAGACGCTGGCCGTCAGCGATCCCGTCTGCTCCCGGAGCAGTGCCCCGCGTCAGACGCTCAGCGTCTCAAGCGTCAGACGCTAGAGACGCTCCCTTGGACAACGGGCCCATTGAAATCAATGCTTAGCAGTCACTGAGCGTCCATCGCTAGCGTCTATTACTCAGCGTCACCCGCAACAGACGCGTTCTTGGACAACGGGCCTTAAGATAAAATCAATTGGTGATTTGGAAGGGAGGATTTGAACCCTGGACCCCAGTGACCAAAGTTCCGCGCTCTACTACTAGACCAGCTCCCCCAACTGTCTTAATCTGTAAAGTATTGGTATTCGGTATTTCAAAATAACTTCTTGATCAGCATTAAATTTACGGAAAGTAAATAAAAGAAACGTTTTATAACACTTAAAACATATATTTACCCTTATACTGTTACTCACAAGACGGTAAATATAAAAAAAAGATGGTAAGGGGTGATCGATTTCGATTGGACACTCCAATCATCATCAGACCCAATAGGCGAATCGCCACCTATTGGGTCACCACCTATCTACATACCACCTATTTCACCACCTATTTTCGCCTATTGGGTCTGATGATGATTGGAGTGTCCAATCAAAATTGATCTGCACTTACCATCTTTTTTGTATATTTACCATCTTGTGAGTAAACAGTATAAGCGTAAATATATGTTTTAACTTTAAGTGTTATAAGACGTATCTTTTATTTACTTTCTGTATTTCAAAATATACAACAGAAGTAACAAAATCAAAAAACAAAAACCAAACAACTTACACAAATTTGTAAGGGCTGTTGGTGACAAGAAATAGCTTTTTACCAGCATCCGCTAGCCTCTGGAAGAAGTAGGTGATTCCTGGGTTTTTCTCTATGTATTGAGAAACATCTTCTTGTAAAAGTTTGTGCATGACTGGGTGAGATGATCCTACAGAGTTCTGGAACAAAGTACATTTTTGGAATTGGAGCTCCTTTTACATATGAGGCAAAATCATCAAATATGACTGTATATACAATGTTGGTTGCAGAGTATCATTTTATGGGAAAACTAGGAAAGGTAACTATTTGTTTTACAGATTTTCCTAGTTTTTCCTTTGATTCCAAGCTGCTTGGATAAGTAGCATATTAATTAACATTTTGGATTGTAGATTTTCAAAAATTTGTTTCCTCACACCAATTATTATTACAATTTTAACAAAACCTAACAACTTTCAACCACTTGAAAGTTAACTTCTATGCTTCTATTTTTCTTTAAATAACAGCCATCGACTTAGAGATTTAAAAAATGCATACATAAAACAGAAGCATAGACGATTTTCAATAGGTAAGAACTCCTATGGTGGCACACAAAATGAATCCTTACACCACAACATAGACTGTCCTTAAATATGTAGGTGTTTTAGAGTGTTTGTTTATACAACCATCACATTTTTCACATATTTGTGTGCAGGAACGGTCCAAACCTAAACATAGCCATTTTATTTTTGCTGTATAGTATTTTTAATTAAAAGCCTAGTGACGAATGTCATCTAAAATCTACCACACTATAGATTGAACCAGCTACCTTCATATTCGAAGGTGAACATAGTAGTGAAACTAAGTATTTCGTTTAGTGCCTATTGTACTCCCAGTAGGGATGGGTGTTATATAACGTATTAGTCAAAATAACAGGGTTATGAACAAATAACTGTGATCGTGGCATTAGGTTACTGCTAGAACCCGTTATTTGAACAATGGTTTCAATAAATATGCCAACACCAGCTGCTACGTTGCTGCTGTCCCAGTCTATAAGACTCCAGGACCGTTAAACTCTCAGTAACTGTATAACATCACTGTTAACAATAAAACTAATTGAACAAAATCAAAGGATTAATCAGCCATCTAATGTTATAATACAAGAGTTGGTAGCAATGTTTAAGCCTCACAGATAATGTATTAATTTATAATCACTAAATCCCCGGTAGTAGATGACCCAGTTTCATCCTATGAAGTGATGAATTGCCAATCCCAACACTTGATTGCTAAGGTCAAGCTTATCAGACAACCGTCTCTTGTTAAGAGGTGATTCACCAATTGACTCCCGTGTCGACACAACAGCTCCACTGTTGTCCAATCATCTTGCTGCACTGATATGCACTTACATGATGTGCTTGGAGTATGTGCTCACCTTCTACCTTCTATAATGTTTATGACTTTATAATGAACGTTCTAAAACCCGTAAGGAGTTAAAACTTATGGTGTATAACATTTTTTTATATTTTGATCTTATGAAAATAAACTGAACACCTTTAGGGTAATCACAAATGCAGAGAAATGTTGGATATTATGATGACAGTACATTTTCTTGACGTATTTTCAATTCCTCCCAGTTTGAAAGTTGTCTTACTTTATAAAAAAAAAACAATGGGAAGCAAACAAGCGTAGGCTACTTTGGTATTATACCGGCCTCGCCTAATTCTAACCTAACCTAACCTAATAGTGGACTATTTTTAGGTTAGGTTAGGTTAGTTTAGGTAAGGAAGATTTAGTTGTTTAAACTAATAAAAATCTTATTTGGAAGTCGATTTATCGGTGTGGTCGATATAATAAATGTAGGCTAGTAATGTCAAGGTTTTTAACAAAATCTGACAAAATAACATTTATATAGTTCTAGACACACTTTAGAGAGTTCTCTACCATCAATCTTTATTCTTTAGACCTTATGAAATAAGACTGACACAGAAAAAACAAAACTCACTAACAGAGCAGTACAAACACTTTGTTTATGATCAATAATTGCACACCTTGATAACGAAGGACATACCTTGACATCACGGAACAGAATCTCCGGATGAAAGTCGATGCCGTTCTGGATGAAGTACTCAGTGATGTTGCACAGAAGACACATCTCTGGCACACTGAACATGTCTGCCAACTGTACCATCTTGGAGGTTACGTACTGCAACAGAGATTGTCGAGTCAGCTTCGGATATGAAAAAATATATAACCTAAGAATAAATAATTTTTGACTGACTTTTTGTCAGAGGTTTGTGAGCCCGAGATTTTTTATCGAGCCCCTGGGCCAAAATTATAAAAAAGTTCACACAAGCATTATAAAGGTGTTAATCTTTTCAAAAAACAAGATTTTCTTAGATTAGTTATGTCATGGACTAAGAATACAAATTTAAACATATGCCAATAATAAATAACTGAACTAATTAATACACAATAGCATCTATAATTTGGCAAAATGCGTGATCATCTTCCCATAACACTTGACACTGAGATCACATCCTTTGTGATCAAGACAACATCATGATAATCTCCTGCAAGCACGGTAACACTTACACGGTTCGTCTCTTACAGTTGTAACAACATCTATGCATCCATGATCATCTCCCTTAAGCATAGCAACAACATGATCATCTCCCCGCAGTTACAACAGCAAAAATTTTAAAACACACAATCTTTGGTTATGCCTTTTGTGATCATGATGATATAGTGAGAAGAGAAAGCTTAACTCAATTTGATTTTTTGGCTTGGTACCTCAAACATTCAAAATTTTAGGCCGAACTCAGCTTGGCTTGAAAGTATAGCCGCTCGCACACCTCTATTTTTTGTGAACAAATATTTCCTGGTGAAGTTAGCTTCATTTATAAGACTTGTAATGAATCTAGTTTTTATTTTCTTGGTAAACAATTCAATAGCTTGAGGGGGGATCCAACCACTGGGCCTACCATCACATAGAGAATTTTCATTGGGGTTGGCATGATTTGTACCAGGAGTTTCAAGACAGAATGGTTTTAGCTTCTAACTACTGCACCGGTCTTACTCCAGTGCTGTACAATGTTTTAAAGTGTCTGCAACATTTTTTAATCCCTTTTCTGAAAAGTTTACATTAAAATAATAAAATAATTGTATCAATCAAAACTTAAAACCTCTACGTAATAAAACAGCTCTCAAACTTTTAGATAAATTTAGAAAAATAATAAAGTTTGCTTTAAATTTCAAATGTATATTTAACTTCCTGTAGATTGTTCCATAGTAACAAAAAGCCATGTGCAGGCTAAACACTTAATTAAAACATTATATTTGAAACACAAGTGTTAGAAGCATTCTTCATCGAGACCAAAATCTAAGCTAACGAATAAACAAGCATAGGTTTTCAACTAGAGTTATGAACCTAAAACACCCAATGATATGAGCTGTAAAATATACAATAGTTAATTGTTGAGTATGTCGGATAATGACTTTAAGTTTATCTTTAAATGTTTTTTTATTCTGTTCAAAATGATTATACATTTAAAACATAATGTGTAAAGTACTTTTTGTAATGTTAGTATGATCCGCTACATGAAGTTAACATATGTTTTCTTGTGAAAATATGAGATGCCCCCAAAGCAGAATGTTTAATTTAAACTTTCAAAAACTTAATTGAACTCTACTTTTATTTCAAGATTTTTGAAACCAATTTTCTGAAAATTTATATAGTAATTGAAAACTGCAAATGAAAATACGAAAGCTCTAAATAGGCCTTCATAATATGAAATATGTTTTGTTTATGAATACACTTGATTATAATCACTGAAGTAAAATTTGATTTTCACCTTGGGTAGGTTTTAATTTTGTAACACTGTCTGATAACCACGCTCGTAACTAAAAACAATACAGTAACTTAATAATTTACAAACACTGCTTCTGCTTTGGGGATGAAGAGTAAATATACTGAAAAACTCCAAGCATTATTCCAGTTTTGCTGTGTCCGCTTACAGAACGGGGAAAACGGGGATGGTGGGGTAATTCGTGAAACGTATTACTTGAGTCAACCTGAAAGATAATAAAGCAACACTAAGATATCTAGTATCTCCAAATGATGTCCCCCGTAGTTCAGTTTGTATTCACATTATAGGCCTTATAATGTGAATACAAACTGAACTACGGGGGACATCATTTGGAGATACTAACTGATCCATTTGAATACTACACAATTTAGTTTGTGACTAAATTATTGCTTCTCATATTGAAACACTTTTTCCATTGTCTGTGATGTTTATCGATCCTATCCTTCAATATCAAAACGATCAACCAAAAGGTTTCAATTTATGATCCAAGGTTTTAGCAATTAAATATTTTAAATTATTAACTATTTTAATATTTTGATCGATAAAACAACAGACGGAGAAGCGTAGCCAGTTAAGAATTTTAAAAATTTTAAGCATCAAATGAATAATACCTAAGTGACAAATAAAGAATGGTTAGTTTTAAACTCCCACTAATATGGTAGGTACAGTTGAAATTGGAGATTCAAGTTGTTGTAATGGAACGATTCTTTAGAAACACTTAATCTTCCAGAGGGAACATCCCAGAGGTAATGTTCAGAGTCGCTATATTTTCCTAATAAAAATATATAAAAAATTAAATAAAAAAAAAAAATTTTTATGACCGTGGGACGAGCAATGGAGTCCAGTCGTCAATTTTTCAATGGGAGAACACTCAGAATAAAACCAACCAGCATCGGAGATGTTGATGATTTCTATAAATTGCAGGCCTAATATTCTTACATAAAACTAGACAGTGAGCTACACACAGGCCATTAAATAAAACTAACGTCCATCTCACCTGCGCCCACTAAGAAGATGTTCAAAACAAACCATTCTTTAGCACCATTGTAATTAAATCCATATTTAAGAAACAGCTATTTAAGGAAAGGGTACTTTCGTCTGTATGAAACTGACCTGAGCGTTTTTGCCATGAGTCTCGACATAGGCTAGAGGTATGATCCTGTTCTTGTACAGCCGTAACACCTCATCATCAGTGACGGGACTCAGTCCACGGTACACTGTGCCCAGCTGTATCTGCAGAAACGAGTCAATCTTCATCAGCAATCCTTTCTCTATGTCGTAGTGGAGACCTCGGATAGCAAATCCCGGCTTGTATTCCAACTCCATGATGCCTCTTGGATACTGTGAAAAACAAGTCAAAATGGCAATTCAGAATCCAATCATTGTATTACCAGAGTTTCACAGTTCAATGGGTGAGAAATATTACGACTACATTGCAGCAATGGTGCTGGTGCTGCCTCTAAAATTGATCACCAGGCCTATAATTAATACTTTTGGCCTATATTTTTATAAGTAACTTACTTTATAACAAAAACGGTAGGTCACCCAATACAAAATTATGACTACCGGTACTGTAGGATATTTATTGTTGTAATGACCTGGCCTATTTAGGGATTCCTATTTTATTACCTTCAGTAGGCCTATAGCAAGTCATACAAATCTAAAACATTTTAATAGGTACCAAAGCAAAACTTGAAAACCAAAACATACCTTGTACTTGGATATGAGAGTTTCTCGAGCCAAATTGTACAGCAGGAAGTCCATTGATGGCTTGTACACAGCAAGAGTGTAGTCATAATCAAAACCATAAACATTAACTTCTTCGAGGTCCAACTCATTGCAGGCAAACACTCCCCTTGGATTCACATTTGGTGGCAATTTCTTGGCTAGAAATAAATTTTGGATGTAGACAAAGAAAGGAAGATGAAATTTAGGCTCAGAATTAAGTCATGGGTTCCTACAAGAAACAGTTTTTGTAGGCCCTAATTGCAGCTACAGATTATTATGCATCTGTTAATCTTGAATTGAAACTTAAAGTACTGGATGCCTATAGAACTTATATAAAGGGGTTGTACTAGCCTGTATGTTAGTGTTTTACCCCTCAATGTGAGAGTTATGGGTACGAAACTGAAAACACCTTCTGTACCGGTACCAAGTTTTAAGGTGTTTGGACAACTTTCCTTCTAAGACCGGCTGCTTCTTTAGCCAAACAATTAGGGCTTATTAAGAACCTAATGATTTAGGAAAGCCCAATTAGGAAGGATCGAACACTTGACTATCAGGCGAGTGGTATGTGATAAACTCAGCTGTGATAAATGTGAATCAATGGAAAGATATGTTGTTTTTAGTTACTATATTACTTTTATTTTTGTATGAGGCCTAACTTAGTTTAGGATTTTTAATAAACAGTTGATTCTGAGGGTACCTACACTTCCGTATCTGTTGTCAAAAACAACCAAATGAAAAAAATATTCGATTTATCGATTATTTCATTTGTTACCTAGGCTACAGTATATCGTTTGGTTAGTTAGGTGGTTAACCTAACTAACTAAACAATAGGATAGTCCTATCGAATGAAATAATCAATATTTTTATTTGGTTGTTTTTGACAACAGATAGGCCTACAGAAGTCTACCCGATTCCAATCCATCAATTTGTAATCGACTTATTCGAGCAGTGGTAAATATTTACAAAACCCAACTTACCCTAGAGCCACCTATGTCATTTTCAATTTTTGGTTTTTTATAAGACCTAGGCTAGTTTAGCTAGCAAAACAGTTGATTCTTGAACATCATCAATTCGTAGACCTAATTTTAGCAGTTAACATGAAAACAACAGACCCTAAGATTTTGACTATGCACACTGTGACACTTCAATCTGAGTCTTTGTTTCAGATAGGCCTAGGCCTATCCTTAGCATAGGAATGAAATAATATTATTTATAATGCGATCAATGTTGTATGGTAGTTTGCTACCTGGTTTGTTAGGAATAAATTAAAGAATGTGTTATAGAGTTAAAAAACTTTAGTAGAGGTAACATTTTAAAAGACAAAATAATTTTAGACCTCTTGAAAGAGGTAACTTACTGAATACCCTTGAAGACCTATTGTACTGTACTTACATTCATACTTTTGTTTCGTTTTTAAATACGCGTCAATAGGGTCACCTTTTGGGGCTTCCATGTGGATTTTTCGGGAACATTTTACTTGAATATTGGAAGAACATTGTAAAACTAATGGTAAATGATGTTTGCATGTTGCTTGAGAAAAATAACATAACCTTGAGATACTCTGGCAGTTCATCGCTCACTAGCAGACGGTTCTGAATCAACAGGATCACAAACATCAACTTCTGCTCGAAACATATGATCCAGGAAGGCAAACGTCATAACACAAAATAGCTGATAGTTGTAAGTAAAATAGAATAACGTACTATATAAATTAACTATTAGTTTGGAACCTTTATGAAACTAGTCTAATTAAGCACTACAATTAAATAAATAAGGTAAAAATAACACCATGAGTATGAAAACTTGCTTACAAGCTACTATCAATGATCAAATTATAAAACCACAAAAATGATGGCGGAGCAACTAACGTCTTAATCCAGAACAAATTATACAAATTATAACGTCCTAACAATACTTTTACATTTCAAAATACTCTTGAAAATTTGTGTTTTTAAAAAGTAGACGAATACAAATCCATACTATTATATAAAAATGTAATGGTGTCTGTCTGCATGTGTATTACTAATAGGTGCAAAAACTACTGAACAAACTGGGCTAAAATTTTACAAAAATATAAAAATGTAATGGTGTCTGTCTGCATGTGTATTACTAATAGGTGCAAAAACTACTGAACAAACTGGGCTAAAATTTTACAAAAATATAGTTACCAAACCAAGGACCATTATAGGACTATTCACGTTTCGATACTGACCGTAGGCTTTGCCCCTTTGGCTTTAAAAGTTGTGAGGTGAAGATTTTAAAAGTAAATATTGATTGGTCTCCATGGCTGTGATGAGAACACTAACAATGTTTGTTTACATTTGCTTTGACATTTAAATGAAACAAGAAGAACTGCTAAACTGCATATTTCACAATTTCAAGACAGCTGATACAAAGAAATTAAATATAATATTTTCCATAACTATGAGGTAGGTTTATTTTAATTTAACCTTTTATCATGGATTATTTATTCTAAAACTATGTAAATGATTATATAAAAAAAGATTCTATAACCGTTGCTGTATCAACTCCGGCTCTACTTTGGATTTTTTTAAAGCGTCTAAGTTATGAAAATAATGTTATTGATATGTTTTCATGGAAACAGTATGAAAATTACAATGTATAGATGTTTTATATGAATTTGGAGGCTACTTTAAATAAATTCGAACTCCTTAACATGTGTTAGATTAACTTGCACATCACATTGTTTTTTATATGTACATTTAGGTAAATTAAGTTATTGTGTTTTGCTAAACCTATGCATAAATTAAACTAAAGAATATCATCAATAACTAAACTGTACTGTGTCGTTGATTTTTGCTTTTTAAAATCTGTTGTATATGTGTAACTATAATTAATTATCAAATGGTAATACAAAATACTCTTATTTTATCTTAACATAGCTTTCAGTTCAAATTTACTTTATTTGATACATTAATTATTTGTGTTTTGCCACACCACTGATTAAATTAAACCAAGGAAAATATCATAAAACTAAGCAGTTTTATGATATTGTACACAGTGTTCTTTTGTTTCTAAAATCAATGAAATATCTGTTACTATGTTTACTTTATGGTAAGTGTGAAAATGTAAAGCCAATGGACGATGGAACTGACTAAAAGAACTGGATTGTATATTTAAGTTGTTTGTTGATATTTTTGTAGAGTAGAATCAGAGATGCAATGAAACATATACAGTATTTGCTGTTAAATTGTTTAGTCCTTTATGCTTTGATAATCATATTAGTTTTGTCTGCTGTCTTTAATGCTAATTATTTGTTTAACATTTTGTATAGTACCTATAGAAATAGTTTCTTTAATATTTCAAAAGACTGTATTGAAAAGGCATAGCAATATTTCTAAAGTTTATAACAGCTGACTTAGTTTTGCTAATGATTTATTGTGAGTGAAGAAACTGAAGATGGAAAGATTTGTGATTTAATATAAAAAAGAGTGAAATTAAAAAAAAATGTTCATTTAAATTTAATTATTAGTAGTAACTTCAAAATTGAAATTTAAAATGTCAATAATAAATATAAAGATATGTTATTAAGGGAGATGAAATGGTGGTATCCACTACTTACCAGATTTAAAAGTCATAACTTAAACGTTTCTATTAAGGGCATAAAAGTTGAATTTTGTTTCTAAAAGCGTTGGGGGATGTGTAACTATTATATGCAACAGGAACAGATGTAAAGATTACAATGTTTCTATTTTTGTCTTCTTCCCGTTGCAAAGCACGGGTACAACAGCTAGTTTATTCTAAAATTATTTTTCACCATTTCATCCCTACTAAAAGCTCAGGTGATCTCCTCCACAGTAATAATAAAAAATCATACAGTTTGGGGAAACATATTAATTAACATTTTCGTCATGCTACAGCAAAAATAGTGGTTTTTAATACGTGTTGGGGGTCTAAATAAGTAGCATGTTTACTCCATATGGAGGAAAAAGCATTTTTAGTACCTCATAGGGAGTAATAGTTTAATTCGTACCTAGGGCCGAAAATGGGTCCGTGGTACGAACGCTATTTTTCACCACACTTTACCCTATTACCTCTATTCAACACTGTAATAATGCACACTGATGGTCAACACAACTTTAAGGTTATGTGAAGAAATAATTTGAGGAATCAGCAAAAATAAAAATAAATAGTTGCTAGGCAACGGTGACAATAACGCAATTAATTCTATTGCATTGCTATGGATTTTGATTGTGTAAATGCATTCATGTTTCAAGTAAGTAAGCGGACAGCTGATTTTGCGGCCCCGGCCTGTAAAAACCTGCTCGGTCCCCAAATTACGATAACAGCTGGCATGGCCAGCAAAACGTAACTTTCAGCCACCAATTAACGTATGTAATACAGCCATAAACATCATAGTGTGGTGAAATAGTATATTTCGTACTTAGGGCCGAAAATGAGGTTTTGCCGGCTCGAGACAGTTTTTAAGTTCGAGACGAAGTCGAGAACTTAAGAGTCTTCCTTAGTGGAAGCCATGTTGGATTTCTTCCCCATAAGAACAATGTTAAACATTACATCATTTGTGGACACGTAACGGCGTTATTTGTTAAGATATAGCTTTGAAATTTATAATTTGTATTTTTAAAATAATAGACTCGTGACTGAGGTTTTTGAATTTCGAAAATCCATTTTCATTTCCTTTCAATAATTAGCTTAATTTTAAGCTAATTAATAATCAATTATTCATTATAAAAATTAAAAATTGTGAAATAAAAAACGTCAATCTCTAGAGGACCGCAATTCCTTAAATTTAACTCCTTATCCATAATTATATGACAATTTGCTGATGAGATATTTGGACCCAAAGTTAACATTGTTCTTATGGGGAAGAAATCCAACATGGCTTCCACTAAGGAAGACTCTTAAATTGATCGAGAGCTGCAAAACCATTTCGGTCCGTGGTACGCACACCACTATTCACAACCATAATAATGCACGCTGATAGTCAACACAACTACAACTTTAAGGTTATGGGAAGAAATAATTTGAGGAATCAGCAAAAATAAAAATAAATAGTTGCTAGGCAACGGTGACAATAACTCAATTCTATTGCAATGCTATGGATTTTGATTGTGTTAAATGCATTCATGTTTTAAGTAAGTAAGCGGACAGCTGATTTTGCGGCCCCGGTCTGTAAAAACCTGCTCGGTCCCCAAATTACGATGACAGCTGGCTTGGCCAGCAAAACGTTACTTTCAGCCACCAATTAACGTATGTAATACAGCCAAAAACATCATAGTGTGGTGAAAAAGTTATAGCTGTTGTAAACAGTTGTAAATTTCGATTGTAAGCAATCGCATGGATTGAAATCGTTTGATTAATTTTTGGTTAGGTTTTGTTTTAGCATAGATTAAACTGGATAAAACATACTGGTTAGTCTATGGTTCTAGCTTCTGTATAGTCAATGGTTCTAGCTTATTATTGTTGCATTCTTGTCATTAGTTCGTCATATCGATTGTATAATGTACAGTAGACCCAACAACACCACTATATCGTAATTTATTATTGTAAGTTGGTGAAATCCGTTGGCAATAAATAAATAAATAAACACCATAGTAATAAACAAAATGGTTGAATCACTTGCTAAACAGCTACGGTACCTACTTATTTACATTAGCAGAATCGAAAACAAGCTGGAAGTCGTTCTGAGAGGTCATCTTTACATGACAAGTATTTTCCTTTTCTAGCTTAGTTTGTTAATTAATTATGCAATATGACGAAAATATAGTTTCTCGCACGGGCAATAAGTTTTCAACCATAGCTATCATTTTCCGGCCGATCGTTTAACTTGAGGATTTACAGTCAACGGTTTAATCATCGCCTCGATCGTTAAACTTGAGCTCGGGTCGAAAAGAGTTACTTACGCCTTACGCCCTAGTAATAAAATCAGGGGCGTCACGTAAAGGGGGGGGGGGGCACACCAATCATCTTTGAAAAATGTAACAGTTGAAAATTTTTGGGTATTTGAAGGTATGTTGAGTTGAGATTTTGGGAAGAAACTCTCATTAAACTGTCTACTTAAAGGTTTAGGTATTTTCAAACTAAGCAGACATCCACCCTTTATAATAATTAAAGTAAAAAAAAACCTGTTGGAAATTTCAAATGTTGGATAACTGGTACGTAACGTATTTGTAGTACTACACAGTAATTGACGGCTTTTTAATGGATTTTTTTAGCTACACGTGGAAAGCCTCATAAGTGTTTTTTAACTTATTTTAGGAGACTGTAAACTTAATGTATCAGTAGGCCTATAGTGTACAAATTTGTTGAGACGCTTGACAATCAACTCAATGTGATATAAACCTTTATTTCTTGTTATTTGTGGCAAATAGCCTTCTTACTGTTCAAACCGAATATTAATTAGTTAGAAAATCTGATTAGTACAGTTGGTAAATCCGTGTAATATAGCTGGGATGGGAAGTTCATTCAATATAGTTGGGAAGTCCACGTAAAATAGTTATGAAATTCAAAGCGTCTCCTACCCCATTATTTTTCTTGTGACGCCCCTGGATGGAATCATTGACTATATATACCTATGGAATATACTATTAATATGTTTGACATCATAAAG